AGACGAGCACAACTCAAAACGCACTGACGATGTCTCCTCAAACAGTGACAAAACATTTGCAACCCAATTGCCAAGCTCGGAGCTCAAAGCAATAGCCTAACTTGTTCAAGGATGCTTTACCAGAGGCGTTAAGTTTTGCAAACTAACATATGTAGGGAACTTGTTTACACAGATGTTTAGAAATGGACAACACAAGAAAATTACATACGTGCATGCCTTTAGCTGACAATTGATCACGTGTTTATGCAATAGGAATGATAGTTGATAGGAGGATTTATTCTGTTATACCAAGAAATTATCGTCTCCTGAGTCAACCCTGCCAATAGTCCTCCGTGGCATTTCTGGACTATGGGGCATGGCACTTCTATAAATTAAAGCTAACGGCAGGTATTAACAATTAAGTTCAAAAAGAAATAAAAATCTCAACAGGAAGAGAGCTACTCCTATTCATGAAAACCTGCCTGCTGTACAGGTTGTCTTTGACTCACGACCACAACCGAGCCCAAAATTTATGTGGCTAGGCTGGACAGTTGTTGAGTTTTGCCCTCATTTTACGACCTTTACAGACACGGTTGTTAAGTAAATCACTACAGTTGTTAAATTTGTAACACCGTGGTAAAATGAATGAATGGCTTGCCCATTGACTTCACTGGTCAGGAGGTCTCAAAAGATGGTGACGTGACCCAGGGACACTGCAACTGTCACAAGTATGAAACAGTCACCAAGGTACCTGAATTTTGATTGCTTGATCACGCAAGCACGAGAATGCTGCAATGGTTGCCGGTGTGAAAAAAACAGTCATCAGTCACTTTTTTCAATGTCGTTGCAACTTCTAACGGTCACTAAACAAATGGTCATAAGTCAAGGACTACCTGCATTCTCCCCACCCACCCACCCATGGGTCCATCAGAACTAAGCAATTGGTCATAATGGAGCCGCAAGAGAGGCCCATTTTTGGATAGAGTTCCTGGAAGCCTATATGTCTTTCCCAAGGAACTCGATCATTGTAGAGCAGGGGTGTCAAACTCATATTTCATTGAGAGTCACTTCAGGGTTGTGTTGACCTCTGGGGGGGGGGCGTGACCAAGGGGGCGTGGCCAGCTCGACATCACTCATGTTGGGGGCGCCTGTGATGGCCCAAACACTTTGCCAGCAAAAACAGGCTCCCAAGGTCCGTTTTCGGCTGCGACAGCTTCCTGCAACCCTCTGCCAGCAAAAATGGAGCTGGGGGCGGGGGGGCGGAGGCATGCATATGGTCCTCATGAGCTCTGTTTTCGGCTAGGACAGCCTCCTGCATCCCTCTGCCAGTGAGGGTTTTCAGGGCAGAAACAGGATTCGGCCCATGGACCTTGATCTTGACACCCCCATTGTAGAGCCCCCAGCTAGGGAAGCTCGCCCCACTGCCTCCATCTCTTCTGAGCATAGCTGCTGATACTGCCATGGGGTGACGGTTGGTCTGTTTCCTCTTGATCTTGCAGCAAAGGTCCTCACCCACCGGACTCTCAGCGTCCTGGAAGACATCGTGGAGAGCGTCTCTGGGGAAGCCACCAAATCTCGCCAGATCTGCTACCAGTCGCTGCAGGAGTCTGTCCAGGTCTCCCTTGCTCTCTTCCCAGCTTTCATTCATCAATCAGGTATAAACTCAGACCGGCTTTCCCCGGCCCGTCAAACTTAGTATGTCCGTCTCCGATTAAAACAGGTCTTGTTCCTGGATAGCGAATGCTCATAGAGAATGCTGTTGTCCTGTTTCAAGAGCAGGAAGCAAACTCCTTTTATTAATTGACTGTGAATTCTGCTCATTTACATCCAGCAAAGTCTTTCAAGGGAAGATTTACAGTCACAGACTTTATAAGTATAATCTTTATTGCCATTGTACTTAAATACAATGAAATTGGTTTTAAGAGCCGAGGTGGCGCAGTGGTTAAATGCAGCACTGCAGGCTACTGCTAGATCAGCAGTTCAGTGGTTCAAATCTCACCGGCTCAGGGTTGACNTATTATTGTATTACTTTATTGGCCCCATGTAATCGGACACACAAGGAATTCGTCTCCAGTGCACGACTCTCAGTGTACATACAAGCAACAAGTGATAAATCATGATCATAATCACCATAAAAGACATTCATCATAAATCATAACAGCAGTTAGTAAAAGTCATAGGATGCTAAATAAGCAATCAATATAAATCTTGCTAGGATACTAAATACAGCAAGATAAATTGCAAGATAAAAGCAACGAAGTTGATTTAAAAACAAAAAACAAATTTGGACTTCCAGTTGGCCTGGTGCCTTCACTCAGAAAGAGATTAAGCATTTTCCTCACAAGCTGGTAGCAGGGCTAGAAATTGGCAGACGTAACGCAAATATACTTTTTGTTTAGCTTAAAAATTCCTTTTTTGATCCTCAAGGAACTTGTCCCCAACAGCTCATGTTCCCAAGGTTCCTTTGCAAACTCGAACAGGCGGTGGTGGTGGTGGGGTTTTCCTGAAATTTTGAGAAATGCTATCCATTTTCAGATAAAAAGAGAATGTTTGGGGATGAGGTAAGAGTATTAAAATAACTTAAAGCCTGTTGCAAAAAAAAAAAAAGGATTTGAAAGCTTTTAAATTGGATTTTTTTTCATCGTTTGCAAGTGATGTTTATACTAATAGCTGTATTAGCCTAAGCTTTGTCAAGGCTTTTTGCCTTGACATGAGAGCTATAAATAACTAAATGTATTAAATCTGGTTTGAACCTAATTGCATGCAACCAGAACTGCTGATGTTTAGCGTAGCTATCGTAAGTAATTAGCAGCGTACAAAATGTTTTGTTTTGGACTGTATTCAGTACAAAACTCCATGTAACATCTTGTACACGTGCAAAATTATGATCTTGAGCACTTTTAGAAGTATGTTGACACGTGACAGAGCTGGGGACCTGCTTTTGAGTTTAGAACTCTTTTCAGAATGCTGGAGACTGCTGTTTGTCCCCTTACAAGAGGACATTTTGTTAAAAAGCTGTGCTCAGTAGAGTCTGAAATGAAGCCCTTTGAAGTGGCTTGCACACTTGTGCAAGGACAAAATGTGTTTGAATATTAGTAGCTCGGGTTGGTAGTTAGGCTGTTGCTTTGAGCTCTGAGCTTGGCAATTTGGTTGCAAACATTTCGTCACCATTCAAGGAGACATCATTTTCTTGTGTTGTCCATTTCTAAGCATCTGTGTAAACAAGTTCCCTAAATATGTTAGTTTGCAAAACTTAACGCCTCTGGTAAAGCATCCTTGAACAAGTTAGGCTATTGCTTGAGCTCTGAGCTTGGCAACTGGGTTGCAAATGTTTTGTCACTATTTGAGGAGACATCGTCAGTGCATTTTGAGTTGTGCTCGTTCCAACAGACGAGCACAACTCAAAACGCACTGACGATGTCTCCTCAAACAGTGACAAAACATTTGCAACCCAATTGCCAAGCTCGGAGCTCAAAGCAATAGCCTAACTTGTTCAAGGATGCTTTACCAGAGGCGTTAAGTTTTGCAAACTAACATATTTAGGGAA